TGCCAATGCAGGAGAAGTAAGAGACGTGAGTTCAATCCCTGGGTCGGGAGAATCCCCTGGAGAGGGCATGGCAACCCACTCCAGTATTCTTGCCTGAAGAAACCCATGGATAGAGGAGCCTGGCAGGCTATAGTCCATACTGTTGCAAAGAGTCAGACATGACTGAAGTGACTTAGCATGCACACACATTCGCAGAATCTAAAAAAAATGATACAAATGAACTTATTTACAAAACATAGACTCACACACTTAGAAAACAAACTCAGGTTACCAAAGGGGAAAGAAAGAGAAGAGGGATAAATTAGGAGTCTGAGACTGACATATACACACAACTCTATTTAAAATAGATAACCAGCAATGACATATTGTACAGCATAGGGAACTCTGCTAAATATTCTGTAATAATGTAAATGGGAAAATAATTTGAAAAAGAACAGACACATGTGTATGTATAACTGAATCACTTTGCTGTACACTTGGAACTAACACAGCATTGTTAATAAACTATAGTTCAATATGAAATAAAAATGTTTTTAAAAAGAAAGTTAGAAAAAAGGAAGTATATCAGGAGCTACTCCGAAGCTAAGCAAGGGAGAATTCTCACAACACATCATCCTCTGGTCCCCAGACTCTGAGAGCCTCCAGCTCCACACCTCATTACCCTCCTTTCAATCATCTCTTAGGGAAACTCTTTGCCGTAGGCAACAGAGGCTCAGAAATGGAGGATGGGAAGGACAGAAGAGGCTCCATTCCTGGCATCCATAGTTAGATCCCTGAACATATTTCTCTGTAAAAATACTGCTCATTGAATGGCCACATAATATAGTTCTGTTGGAGCTTTACTTCAAAGTATTATGGGTTAAATATAACTGACCACCATGTATAATATGGTTTCTATGGAGAATGCATTTTGAGTTCCACATAACTCACTTCTACAAACAAACCACTGGAATTCTGGCATTCCAACAGGACTGCCTGTGCAACTCTCAAATGAGAGAGCAAGATAAATTAATGTGTTTTGGGACTGTTGACTTCATCAGACAAGGAAAGACTTTGTGTCCTTTTTGCTTGAGAGCTTTCTTATATTGCCTCCTGATCATTCTAGAGATAAAGAAATACAAGAGAACAAGTAAAATATAAGAGAATGAGTAAAAATCAGAAGGAAATCTAATTTTAGCTTCTTTAGGTATTCTGATAATGAAAACTACTAAAGTATACCAAATAAAAGTGAGATCAATAAATTAAGTTTATCTAAATTCAGATTATTAAACTGTACTTTAACCACTTTAGTATAACTGTATGTGTGCATGCACATACACACAGATTAGGGAGAAACGGAGAAAATTATTCGTGCAGTTCTTCTTAGTGAAACTGAAAGTTTAGTTAACCTTGAAAAGATGCCATTATTAAGTGAGCTATAGCTCATTGTTTATGTGCAAGTTAGCCACTAGATCACATGTATCCTTTTTGGGGGCCTTTAGCAAAACTAAACATTTAACTTCTAGTACACGGAAATATTTTTACTTTTTTTTCTGGTAAAAGAAACCCCATGCTTTGAAAATGCAAGAGATGAAACAGACTTTTAAAAATGATTCTTCAGTAATTAACATTTTTACATAAAAGAAATGTCCTGCAAATATTTAAAGAACATTCATAAGTGTCAGGACAGAGATGAAAAAAAAAAAAGTCCAGTAAACCTTGATATCATGCATTTGAGCACTTCTTATGTGCTAAGGGATTTACTTCTATTATTATTTTTAATCCTCACTAAAGGAAGAAATTAACTCCCACATTTCATCAATGAGAAACTTAAGGCAGAGAGACTAAAGAACTTGCCCAATTCTTCAAAGTCTGAAAATAACAGAATGGACACTTGAATCCAGGTGCAGATAACTCACAGCCAGGCTCTCAGCTACTCTGCTGCCTCACAAATGGCAGAAGTCCAAGTGCCACTATTAAACATTAGCCATTATTACCAAGAATTGCCCACGGGGATCTTTATAGTGCAAGTATCATGTGCAAAACACTCCCAAAGGGTTTCTCTTTAGAAAAGAGTACACTTGCCAGAGGAAGGTGTTTCTGAATATCATTACCAGTAACAAATCCTTAAACTTAATCTATACTTTTGGGATAATAAACAATCTAAACAAGTACCATTTTTATAAATAAGCCATGACTAATGCAATCTGCATAAAAATAAGCATTATGTCTTGGAGGGATACAGATGCCCTGCTTGGGGGAGCTGGCAAACAGAGGTGGACAGGCAAACACAGGGGCACAAGTGTGTTTACATGTGTGTGCACCTTGAGGCATGGTTCTGTTATCATCCAAGAGAAAAAGGGAGTCATGGTCTGTTCCATCTCTAGCCTTATACAGAAGCTTGTTAATATTGGGAGGTTCAAGTTTAGTAACCTGAACTAGTTCATTGCATAACCCACTCTTGAGGCTCTGGCTAAACTGCGGTGGAAGTTTGGATCCTTTCCCCCAAGAGAGCCCATAAAGCTTAAGAGCTGTCAATTCTTTCTCCTGGCAGCTGGTCAATGTCTATCAGTTCTTGTGGGTAGATCTTCATTGCTTCCTCTTCCCTCCTGGGAAATGACTGCTGGGCTTCTAAAGCTAACACCCTCCACGTCTCCTAAAATGTAGTATCTCAGAATTGCAATCAGTGTGCACCCAACAGTATTACCCACCCCAACTCCCCACGAGTTCCCAACCAAAGCTCTGGATATTCATGAATCATTATGACTACTTAATCCCAGTGAGTTCTACTGAATTGCCTCTAAATTTCTCTGGATGTGTGAATAAGGAAAGGCTTAGCTGCTCAGAACAGTTGCTAGACTCAATATCCGTGAAAGCAGGGTCTGAATCTGCATCTCAACCTCCACTGACTGGATGGATCCAGTGGAAATCTGTCCTCAGGATTTTGAATTTTCCTTCTGTAGTGTCATAGTCCCCATGCCTAGGGACAGAGAAGCCTGGTGGGCTACAGTCCATGGGATCACAAAAGAGCTAGACATGACTTAGTGACTAAACAGCAAGGGAGTAAAGAAAAGCAGAGACATTGCCTTCTTGCCAGGGCAAACAAACAGGTGCTCTGAATCCAGTGGTTCATAACAAAATGCTCAATTTCTCCTTGCTTGGAGGCAGAAGTTGTTCTAGCTAGGATAGAAGTTAGATTCCAAGTGGTCAGAACTGGAACAGTTTGCCATGTGACATCAGGAGGTCAGTTGGGCCAGGTAAGTCACAATCCAGTAGGGAAATCTTATATTTGAAAGCTGGCAAGACAAATAGCTAATATATAACCCAAAGGCCAGAAATTAGTATTTCAAAACAAAGACTTGAGAATCAGACAAACTGTGATTCAGTTTGTTACACAGGAAGGTAGAGAGCAAAGAGAGGTGTCTAAGGGCACTGTTGTGAAGAACCTTAGAGTGTTTGTAAGTGAAAAAGTGAAAGTGAAGTCGCTCAGTCATGTCTGACTCTGCGACTGCAAGGACTATAGCCTAACAGGCTCCTCCGTCCATGGGATTTTCTAGGCAAGAATGCTGTAGCGGGTTGCCATTTCCTTTCTCCAGGACATCTTCCCGACCCAAGGATTGAACCCAGGTCTCCCTCATTGTAGGCAGACGCTTTACCATCTGAGCCAAAGGAGATACAGGCAGATTTGTCAGGTTTACAGCAAAGTGTGTATACTTCTTGCTCCTGCCCAGCCTTCACATGATTGGAACAGTTTCAGGCCCAGGGGTATGCATCAGTGGGTTACACTATAGAAAAGCTCCTTCCTCAGAGCTGTGATATTACCTTGGCTCCTTCTGAATATTTTTGTCTACTTTTACCTATATTTGACCACAGACCAGCTGAAATCTCAAGTCCCTTCTTTCAGATGTTCTGTCTAAAAGCTTTGCAGATAAGTCTCAAGGTCCCAATCAACTCTCACTTAAAGCTTTGCAGACCTAACTGCAGGTTGACTGGCAAACAAGATATGATAAAACAAAAATCTGAAAGCCTTTTCATTGTCTTCAAAGCTTAGATCATCAGTCTCAACTTATTATAGCTTCCCATGCTTACCTCCTTCTAGCTTCACTAGTCTTTTTGTTCTCTGATCATTCCAAGCTCCCCTTCCACTCCTAGACCCAGGCCCTGCCTCAAGTCCTGTACTTTATAGGGTTCCATCTACCTTTCCTTCATTCATGTCCTTCCCTGTAGGGTGAGGTCACAAGACAATGGACATGCCACTGAGACCCAGTACCTCCCATCCTTTTAGATCACACTTGGCATGCCTAGGACCACAGAAGGCTCTGACCAAACAGCCTTGAACCTGCCCCTAGAACCTGCAAGGAGGTTTTCCCTACCTTCATCCTCCTGAAAGAACAACCCCCACCTCTAGATTCTCTGTTATGTAGCATATCTTGGAATATAGTGACACAATGTAGTTATTGAACAAAGAAATAAAATTATTCAACATATTTGGTTAGAAATATGAAGAGTTAAATTAAAAGCATTGCCTTCAGCTGTGCCCTGCCTGAACACCAACTCACTAAAACTTCATTAAACCAGAAAGTCAGGGAAACTCAGAGCTCAAGTTACTCTTAAGACAACTTTAGTTTTTGTTTCTTTTGATGAAAACCCAGGAACTTGCTCCTAGTTTTTCAATATATGCAGTGCTTCAAGGTTTGAGGATTAAACCCAGCATTTCACAAGTCCATTGCCAAATCAGTGCTACAACACAAACTTTATCATTGACAGTAAAGACTGTCTTTTAAAAATATTTTCCAAGTCAGAATGTCAGTCATATTTGGACTGTGGTACAGAGATTAGAATATTTCTTATCTGCAATCTTAAAATAATTGCTCATGGACACTGTCTTGCTGATACAAACTAAATGATAAATGTAAATTAAAATGACCAGATGCTATATGGCTATTCAGAAGGTCTATATAGAGAAGTGCAGTTCTCTTTCAAAACTTACCTCTGCTTATCTACATATTTATGTTCTCTAGGTTAAACCACTTGGAGTGTGTGGAGATCCATTTTCTTAACTCAGATTTATTAGAAAATAGCATGAAGTAAAACTTTCTGCTAATCCTTCATTGAGGATTCAGTCCCAGGGTGGCAAGAATGAAGGGAAAAAGCAAAGATGGCAAAGAAGAAGAAAAAGGTAAATAGACTCTTTCTTGTATTTACTGAGCTCACTAGACCTTTAAAAGAGACTTCACAAGTTGTTTGGTAACGTAGGATAACTTCAGGAAGTCATTTTTGGAATTATTGCATTTTGGAATCTTTGAAGGGCAAGAAATTTATCTTTCAGCTCTTTTTCCTTGTCCGGTTTCCCATAGGACATTAACTCAGTGCTGTTCTTGCCATGTAAAGACAAAGAGATTTTGATACTTCCTATTGGGGACTGGAAGAAAAGCATTTATTAACCAATACTTGCATGGCAAATGCCAGAGGATAAATTGATATGATTTTGTAAAGATAACCATATCCTGCCCACTAGCCATCACTGGGACTGTCACCAGACTGGATGAATGGGGACTCACCATCATCCACCATGATCCATATGGTTTTGAGAGAACATAGAAGTGAACTGAAAGGGAATATGATGGGTACCACCATCCCCGCATCCTTCCAGTCCAAGAGTAGCACGAATTACTGCAATCTTTCCTCAGATGAGACATTTGTTTCTAATTTACATTCTTGAATGGGAGGGTGGGAATGGTCAGTTTCTGGAACTTCCACTTAGCTATTCTAAAAATAATGGTCCTTAGTCTACATAGTGGAGGGAAGATATCTGATATAAGATATAAGAGTTCTGATATCTATTCCAGTTGACACCTACTCCTTTTATATACTCAAGGACTAGGGAAATAACCACAGACTATAGAGCAAGTCTGCTGACTCAATTGTCCTACTGAATTGGACTTGGGCTAATACCCCGTTTATCATCTGGCTACTGTAACTTCTGCTCTAACTAGAAGACCAGGATAGCATTTTGGGTCTCCTAATATCAGTGTTGGGCTTCCCTAGTGGCTCAGATGGTAAGAATCCACCTGCAGTGTGAGAGACCTGGGTTCGTTCCCTGGGTTGGGAAGATCCCCTGGAGGAGGGCATGGCAACCCATTCCAGTATTCTTGCCTGGAGAACCCCGATGGACAGAGGAGCCTGGAGGGCTACAGTACATGGGGTTGCAAAGAGTCGGACACAACTGAGAGACTAAGCACAGCACAGCACAATATCAGTGTCAGTGCCAGCTCAAATCCCATATCTAACAGATTTGAAAAGCCTGAGTAGTTGCCCTTTCCTCTGGAACAGTTACTCTGGTAAATGACCGAATGTCCCCTTAGGGAAGAATCAGAAAAGACATTTATCATATATATCTACGGTGACACTGACAGACTCTTCCTCATGGGGACAGGTTCCCTTTCAGTAAATGAACTCTAGGTCTATAGTCCTCTTTAGTTCTAGAAACTGGATGATTTTTTCACTGTAGCACTGACGTCAGCTTTCCAGCTCTCAATTTTCTATTACACAAATCAAACAATGCCCAGGTCAGTTCTCCATCTATCTTACCGCTAAAATCACCATAGATCCATGTAGGCCAAGTCACTCTGATTTCTACTCTGACTTTGATGCCCATTGCTGTAATTGTGTCCATTGTGACTCTGAGAATTAAGTCCTGCCACTGGTCTCTGTCATTCTGAAATCCCACCAGCCTCATTAATATCAGGCAGCCTAACTTCTATGCCACATTTACAGTCATGGCCAGCAGAGAAGAGGCACCACCAAGCTTCCTAAAGAACCTGGAATACCTAGCACTAGTATATTTCTTATTGCTGTAGAGATGGGAGTGAGCTCTGCACCCTTCCAGGGGATGCAATCAGTGATAAGCTCTCCAGCTGTACATAGTAAATCCATTCTAATGTTCCTTGTCTGGAGCTGCCGATGAGGTGTAGTAGAGGCAGTTTTTGAGAACAAGTATCACCTTGTTAGGCACCTTTTGTTGAGATCATTGCACAGCCTCTAGGAAAGGAAAGAGGAGGTTGCTTTCCTTTGGCAAAGAAAGCAGGTAGATTCCACTGGCCCAGAAACATTCCAGGAAATTTTTTTTAGTTCTTTCTTAGGTATATCCACTCAAATATCTTCACTACAGACAAGTTTTCCTGCCCTCTTTCCCACCTGGGTCCTGAGATTTTCATATAGCATATTCATGGATGCTACAAATTTAATTTCCCTTTACCTCTCTACTGTCTTTATAATTATAATCTGTATCTGATTTTCAACTCATTCTACTCTGAGACCAGACTGCTATTGACACCTTTGGTTTTCAGAGGATCCTTTAAGTTAGCAAGGAGCTGCCCTGAGTCTATCATTTTCTTTAATAAGACTTGCACTGCCACTAAAAGCAGCCACCCCACATAACAAATCTCACAATTACCATTTACCACATTATGATCTCACAGTGCCTTGCCTTCTGCCTTGCATCTCCTTCCAACTAATCATGGGTGAAATTTCATTAATTGTGACCTCACTGCCGGGGGTTATTATTACCCCCACTACCACTGAGCAGTGGGGTCTCTATTGCCTTTAGTCAAGTAGGCAGTTCAACTCCAAAATTCCATCCTGAGAGTTTGCTTCTTAGGACTAATCCTGGAATCTGTTGGGGCATCCCAGGTGGCACTAGTGGTAAAGAGCCCACCTGCCAACACAGGGTGTCATAAGAGACACAGATTTGATCCCTGGGTCAAGAAGATCCCTTGGAGAAGGGCATGGCAACTACTCCAGTATTCTTGCCTGGAGAATCCCATGGTCAGAGCAGCCTGGTGGGCCGTAGTCCATAGAGTCACAAAGAGTCCAACTTGACTGAAACAACTTGGTGCACACACACGCACACACTGGAATCTGTTTTCTTCACCTGAGTTCCAACTGAGTCTAGGCTTTTGTGCAATTATTTTATTGGGAGAGAAATTCTACAGAAGCAAGAGGAAAAAAGAGAAGTCAGCCAGGGAAGGAGAGGAGGTAAATACAAAGTAGAGCATTAATAAGTTGACCATAGCTCCATAAGGCATACAATGAAATGTCCAGTCATCATGGGACCTCTCTAGAAAAGCCGTAAGAGCTACAGTGTCTTGAAATTACCTGTTAGGGAAAAGAAAGGTGGGCAATTTATCTACTGATTGCTTTCTGTTTCCTACTCTCTTCAGACAAGATTGCCTCATATAGCATTAATGCCCCTTCTTCTACATTCCCTCTAAACATCTACTGGTTCCAGATCGATCAAACAGGTCATAGAGTTACTGTGATAAGCAGCGAAGAACCTTGGAACATAATGGATCTATGAAGACAGATATATAGTTTAGGTCTTGCATAGCCATAGCACAAGTAGGGAGAAATGTTATCTCACAACTTTGAGCCATTCAAAATTATTGTTAAAACTATCAAAGAGAAACAAAGTTGGATATGAGTTAAAGGCAGTAAAAACAGATTTACTCAGTACCTACTGCTATAGTTAAGAGAGTGCAATGTAAACGAAGCTCAACTTTGATCCATGCAGAGGTGACTGGGCATTTTAAAGGGAGAAAGATGAAGTGGAGAGAGAGAGAAAGTAAGTATAAGCTCAACAAAGTCAGGGAAGAGGAAAATTATATTTTAAAAATGGGTAGCGAGGTTGGTCTATAGGATCACAAAAAGTCAGACACTACGGAAGCGACTTAGCATGCACAAACACATGTACATTTAGTCCCACACTTCTCTAAGAAGCCTGGAGGCTTTAACAGTTCCTGCCTGACTTACAGATGGAAACCTCAGCCACCTTAAAATAAGACCCCTACTTTAGCCTTCTAGAGCCACATGTAGTTTCTTCAGTTTTCAACTCTGTCCAGACCTCTAGCCATTCTCTTCTGACTCCACTGACTCCAGCAGGCCAGCCCTGACTCACCAAGCTAGTTCAGTGTCCAAGAGCCCTAGTTGGGAAAAAAAAGTTCAGAAATCCCAGTAAGAAAATTATCTTCCTTTGCAATTGAGTACCATCTCCTCAATCCTGAAAAAAAGTACCATCTCCTCAACCCTGAAAATAACAGCAAGAAAAACTGTAAAACATCTTCTCAACTCCTGACTTTTCTCTGAAAGACACTGCAATAAAGATTAATTAAGCTTCTAAACCTCCAAAGGTGTAAGATAACTCTGGTTTCTTATTGTTCAAAGAGAAATTGGTATTTTGTTGCTGTTGTTGCTGCTGCTGTTTGGGGGGATATCAGGCATTGCCGCCTATTTATTATAAATTCATGTTTTAGTCTCACTGACTTCATTTAACTGGCTGCTGGTTTATTTAAAGTCAGTTTAACGGCAAAGCAACTTATGTAAAAACTGAGAGGCTGCCCCTCTGAAATTGTTTAATACAGATATAGAGCCAGCAATCAGAGTTACCTCTGAATCCTAATTCAACTCTTGTGAAAAACTTACCTGGTGTGGCTTCGGAGGCTCTACCCCCTACTGCAAAGATGCATTTGGACTTTTCAAACATCTAGCTTCAAATTTTTAAAATAAATCTGAATATTAGATTGTCAAAAATCTCTATCATAGGAAACCTGAACCAAGAGAATTCTTTTCCAAAGAGTTATTTCTCTAGTAATACTCTATTGGATCAAGGAGGGTAAATGACCTAGATAGGTTATTTCTTATCTCAACCAAATTTTGTTAGGACTGTGGGCAAATGAGAAATTTTGCCCATTTGCTCATATTTAACTCTTCCTTGAGTTAAACATTTTGACTCATCCTTGAGTTAAATATTTGGACTAATTGCCCACCTAAGAAATGGTTGGTTGGTATTTTGTACACACACACACCACACACACACACATATATATATATATGACGTCTTCTTCAACCAATTGTCTGTCGATGGGCATTTGTGTTTCCATGTATTGGCTTTGTAAACAGCATTGCTGCGTCTTTTCAAATTAGAACTTTTGTCTTTTTCTATGTGTACTTGGGAATGGGATTGCTTGATCATATGACAGCTCTATTTTTAGTTTTTTAAGGAACCTACTATACTATTCTCCAGAGTGGCTGTACCAATTTACATTCCTACCAACAGCATAGATAGAGTCCCTTTTCTCCACACCCTCTATGGCATTTATTATTTGTAAACTTTTTGATGACAGCCATTCTGATAGGCGTGAGGTGATAGCTCATTGTGGTTTTGGTTTGCATTTCTCTAATAATTAGAGGTACTGAGAATCTTTTTATGTGCCCATTGGTCACCTCTATGTCTTCTTTGGAAAAAATATCTGTTTAGGTCTTCTGCCCATTTTTTGATCAGGTTATTTGTTTTTTCAATGTTGAGTTATATGAGTTGTTTGTATATTTTGGATATTAACCCTTTGTCATCATATTGTTTACAGTATTTTTTCCCAATCCATTTTTGTTTGTAGTTTCCTTTGCTATGCAAAAGCTTTTAAGTTTGCTTAAGTCTCATTTCTTAAAATTTATTATACCTTAGAGACTGATCTAAGAATACATGGCTATGATTTATGTCAGACAATGTTATGTCTATGTTCTCCTCTAGGATTATATGGTTTTAGGTCTTATGTTTAGGTCTTAAACCACTTTGAGTTTCTTTTTTTATATGGTGTGAGGGAGTGCTCTAATTTCACTGATTTACATGTAGTTGTCCAACTTTTCCAAGGGCTTCCCAGGTGGCTTAGTGGTAAAGAATCAGCCTGCCAATGCAGGAGACACAGGAGACGTGGGTTTGATCCCTAGGTCAGGAAGATCCCTTGGAGGAGGAAATGGCAACCCATCCCAGCATTCTTGCTTGGAGAATCCCATGGACAGAGGAACCTAGTTTGCTACAGTCCATGGGGTTGCAGAGAGTCAGACATGACTGAGCAACTGAACATGCACACATGTCCAGCTTTTCCAACAACACCTGTTGAGGAGACTGTCCTTTCTCCATTGTATTGTATTTTCTTGCCTCCTTTGTCATAGATTAACTGGCCATAGGTGTATGGGTTTATTTCTGGACTCTATTCTGCTCCATTGA